CTGGGATTCCTTGCAAGATTGATGGCTGCAATATTGTCAACCAAGAGTGCAACAACTTCTTCAACCTTACTGCCCAGCTCTTCTAGTAGATTTACAAGGCACACAGCCTGACACACACACATCGATGCAGCGATATACTCGGCCTCACAAGAAGAAAGTGCCACCAAAATTTCCTTTTTAGAGCACCATGAGAATGGAGCTCTGTCGAATATAAAGACATAACCAGTTGTAGACTTTTGATCATCCTTATCTCTGCACCAATTAGAATATGTGTAACCGAGTAACTCACATTTTTTCCCCGTATCAACTGCGGGAAAGATTATTCCACAGCCAAGAGTTCCTTTGATGTATCTTAGGATCCTCTTGACTGCTTCCAAGTGAGACACCTTTGGTCTCTCCATGAATCTACTTGCAATAACGACACTAAACATCAAATTTGGCCGCGTATTACACAAGTAATGTAACGATCCAATCAAACTCCTGTACTATGTTGAATCTATATTATGCTCATCATCACTTTTGGACAGCTGCAACCTTGCTTCAGCAGGTGTATTGGCAGCATTATAATGCTACATATCACACTTTTCAAAATCTCAAGAGCATACTTCCTTTGATGCATGAGCAGTCCTGATTTTGACTTATGAAACTTTATGCCAAGAAAGTATGTCATGATTCTAAGGTCACTCATTTCAAATTCTTCCATAAGCTCACTCTTGAACTTAAAAATATTCACCTCATTGCTACCTGTGATCAATAAATCATCCATATATAAGCAAAGTATGATCACATCTTTGGTTGCATCCATATTCACAAAGACACCATGTTCCGAAACACATTTCTTGAAGCCAGCTTCAACTAGAAAAGCATCAATGCGTTTGTTCTAAGCTCTAGGAGCTTGTTTCAAACTATAAAGCATTTTCTTCAACTTATAGTCTATTCCCTCTTGATTTACGACAAAAAAACCAGAGGGTTGCTCTACATAGACTTCCTCCTCAAGTGGACAATTCAAAAACGCGGATTTCACATCCATTTGATAAATGGACCAATTATTTCTATTCGCAATACCAATAACCAGCCGTATGGTTTCTAATCTAGCCATAGTTGCAAACACCTCATCATAGTGTATATACCTTCTCTTTGCAAAATTCCCTTTGCAACTAGTCGAGCCTTATGCTTGACAATTTTGCCTTTTGGATTTTCCTTCACTTTATAGACCTATCTCACTCCTATTGGCTATTCCCGTCCTGGTAGAACGACTAGCTCCCATGTACTGTTTTTCTCAATCGATTTCAGCTTCTCTTTCATCACACCCACCCACTTTGGATTGCTTAATGCCTCCTCCGTGCTCACGGGCTCAGATTTGGCCTTAAGCGTAAAGTGAATAAGATCACAATCATTGTTGATCTCATTATCATGGAATACTTCACAATCTCAGAGGCTTTAAGGTATACCTCTGCGCCTTGTTGGTTGTCTACTAGATTCACTATTTTCGATCTCAACTGGCTGCTGCACAGGACCTACATAATCCAGATTTTCTATGTTTGCTTCAGGAAATTGATTTTCAGAATGGGAGAATCGATTTCCTCTTCTGAAAGTCCAGTTCCAATAGCTTCTATATGGAAAAAATGTGAAGGAAATCGATTATCCTCATCTAGGAAATCGATTTTTGCAATTGATATGCCCTTTTTTCTGTTGTCAAACAACCTTATCTCATCCACTACCACATCTCGACTTATTACAATCTTCTTGTTTTTTACATCAAACAACTTGTAACCTCAAATAGGATGATAACCAACAAGCAACATCATCTCTCCTTTGTCATCTAACTTATTTCGAAGTTGACCCAAAATATGTTGAAATGCTACCAAAATGAAAACTTTAAAATGACTCAAGATTGGTTTAAGTCCAGACCATACCTCTTTTGGAGTCATGTTGTCCAGCTTCTTTGTAGGGCACCTATTCAACAAATAGGCAGCTGTAGAAACGAATTTTCTCCATAGTTCCTTCAGAAAGCTTTTTCCCTTCAACATGATATGAACCATATTCATTATCGAATGGTTTTTCCTCTCGGCAACACCATTTTGTTGAGGTGTATAAGGAGGCACAACCTCACTCACTATACCCTCACCATCCCAATAATTCTCAAACACATTCGAGGTATACTCACCTCCGTCATTTGTTTTGAGAATTTTGATTTTGTGACCCCTTTGTCGCTCATCCATGGACTTGAATCTTTTAACATCAAATGCCTCATCCTTTTTATTGATTAGGTATGTCCATAGCTTCCTACTAAAATCATCGATAAATGTGATAAAATACCTATTGCCACCATACGAGTCGACATGCACCGGACCACACACATCAGAGTACACTACCTCAAGATGATGTTTGGTCTTATGGCCTTCATCCTTGCTAAAACTATTCGTGTGTTGCTTCCTTTGAACACACTCTTCAAAAATATTAGCTGGAACATTGATCTTAGGTAGCCCGGTCACCATACCATTCCTTTATAACGCGTCGAAGTCTCAAAAATTGAGATGTCTAAGACGGTAATGCCACAACCACTCATCACAAATTATCGATGTAGCAAGACACCTATGTTCCATCACTTTCAACTCTATCTTGAAAATCCGATTGGAAGCCATGGATACTCTAAAAACTAAAACTCTGTTTCGATCCAAAACACGCAAAATAATGTTTTCCATACGAATTGTGTAATTCTTTTCAAGCAATTGACCGATACTTAAGATATTACATTTAATTCCAGGAATGTATAACACATCTTTGATCAAAGAATGACTCCCACCCTTCTTCATGAACAAAACATCATCGGCACCACCGACCGCTAAAGTGGTGTGATATGCGAATTTTACTTTGTTCTTTGTGGCTTAATTAATTTTAAAAAACCAATCCTTTCTACCCATCATATACATTGAACAACCAGAATATAAGTACCACTCATCACTACCTTGGACTCCATCCCAAACAGTTAACATTAGGTTATGCTCTAAACGCGTTTCTGCAGCATTTTTTGCGCTGCAGACACTGCTGCCCAACCACTAACAGCTGCTACTGCTGCTGTCTAGCAGCTTTTCCTTGCCATAGTTCTCCTCTTTGATCATGACCAGAAGTGTGTTATCATCATCCACCTCTTGTCGAGCAACCTTAGCCTCATCACTTAGATTTTATCTTAATTTCGCATTACATTTCTTTGCAAAATGACCAAGCTTATGACAATTATAACACTTCACACCACTCTTGTCAAACTTTTTGGTGTAGTTGCCTTGACCACTACCTTTGGAGCTGCTCTCACCTATTTTCATCATCAAATCCTTTGAATTTTGTGAATCTTTTCCACCAAAATTCTGGAAATTTGTCTTCCCTTTTGAAGACCATTTTCCTTTCGATCTCTTACTCTTCTCATTGAACTGTGCTTGCAACATAATCTCTGCTTTGATTTTGTCATTTCCCCTTTCATCCATTCTTTGTTCATGTGCCTCTAATGAGATTTGAAGCTGCTCCTTACTTAATGTAGGAAGGTCTTTTGATTCTTCGATTGCAACCACAATATTATCTTGCAACAACATTCTACTCCAACACGGTTTCACCGCAAGATTTCATTTGATTCACCAAACGCGTTATACGCGTAACATAATCATTGATCGACTCATTCTCTTCCATTTGCACCAGCTCGAACTGCCTCTCGTGAGTTTGTAACCTCACAACATTTTCTTTATCATCCCATTCATAAGCTTTCTTCAAGATCTCCCATGTTTGCTTCTCTGATCCATAATCACCAACCTTTTTAAAGTTGTCATTGTCGACGCAAGAATGTATCAAGAAGAGTGTCTTGTAATCTTTCTTTTTCTCTTCCTTGAATGTAGTTTGTTGATTAGTTGTAGCTTCTGCCCTAAGTGGTGTTACACCGTCGTTAACCACTTCAAAAACGTCTTGATACCCAAACAAAACTTTCATTTATTTGCACCATTTGTCATTGTTCTTGGAGTCAAGGGTTGGAAGATTGGTAGGATTCGATCATTGAAAATTGTAGACATGTTTTTAGCGGATTAATGGATTAGAACCTAGGCTCTTGATGCCAAATGTTAGAACATACACAAAATAAGTTGGTGAATTAATGGTGAAAAGTGGTTAATTGGAGAAGATGTAGTTTAAGAGAATTTGGAAATTATGAGAGAGAGAGAGAGAGAGAGAGAGAGAGAGAGAGAGAGAGAGTAATTGAGGAGGAAATCTTATCTGACATTAATTTCTCTTCAAAATATTACATGAGGTATTTATAAGCAACACTAAAAACAAACTGAAACCAAAACATGCCCAAAAAAGCTGAAAAACTCAAAAATCAACTCGGGAAATCGATTTCCCTTTCGACACCTCTAAAAAATAGAAAACTGGAAACTTCAAAACCAGTTGTGAAAACCAATTTCCATATATAGGAAAATCGATTTCCTCTTTGCAAAATCACTTTTTCAACTTCCGAAACAACTTATTTTCAACGAAATCCTTCCTAAAATTTCCACAAATACATTTGAATTATTTTAAACTTCCAATATTTTATTTTCTTAATTTATCCTAAAAAAATACAATGATTATTGTGAGACGGATGAAATATACTCAAATTTCAATAATGTAACCAAAAAGACATTCAAATTCACAAAAGATCAAAATTAGTTGTCATAACGAGGACAACTACCCAACAAACTTTTATTTCTAACTTAACAACCCGACCCGACCCGACCCCTTCCTATGATGATCAATTAAAGTCTCCCTAGACCAAACCAACGCGTTTGATAGGGCTTGGGATCCAATTGGATACCGCGTCCGTACCCTACAGGTCAACTAGTAGAATCTTCAATTTCAAGTGGATAGCAACATAACTAAAGAAGCACACATATTCTGAACTTGTCAATTGAATTTTCAATATTCACTTTCGTTTTAAACACTTCTATCAAAATTAACAATTTCATAATTTTTTCAACACTTATATGGCTCAACTGCAACCCGACAACCGTAGCAGAAGAGGCTGTTGCTGCCGCCTCAGCATAATTTGGAAGCTCCTCGTAACAATAGTTCTCATCGTTGCTCTCATAGTCTTCGTTTTATTCCTCATCGTCCAACCACAGTCCTTCAAATTCAGTGTCAAAGAAGCCAAACTCACCCAATTCAACTACACCACCAAAACCAACACCCACACCCTCCATTACAACCTCGTACTCAACTTCACAGCACGTAACCCAAACAAAAAACTCAACATCTACTACGATGCAATTGAAGGACATGTATCCTACGAAGGAACAAGGTTTGCATCAACGGATGTAATAAGCTTAAACTCTTTCGGCCGTCAATACACAAAAACCTCGAGTCCTATAAATGGTGTTTTTTCTGGGCAACGTGTTGTGGTTTTTGACCATGATCAGGTTTCTGATTTTGAACGTGATAAGAATTATGGAGTTTTTCGTATTGATGTGAAATTATACTTTACGATGAGGTTTAGGCTTGGTGATTTTATTTTTCCATATACTAAGGGCAACATTAAATGTGGGATTGATGTTCCTTTTGGTTCTATTGGGACTAAGCTCATGAATGCATTTGAACCCACCACATGTGAAGTTAATTTTTAAGGGTTATCGTGATTATGGGAAGGAGGAACTACATCTATAAAGTGTTTGTTCTTATTACATACTCAAGTGGAATATTGATTGTTTTTATTTTGCAAGTACTTTAGCATGCAAGTGTAAAGATCTTCGATCATTAATAAATATTTATAATATAAGAATATCATATGCTTTGAAAAAGACTCTATTACCCTGTTGCTTACACAAAGCTCCACATATATTTCTTGTAAAACCTTTCATTTGTTAAATTGTAATTTAATGTGTCGAAACTATGTGTCGAAAAGATTTGATTTGTTTTAGATTTAAATAGATTTGATTTAAGTCTAGAATAAATTAGATTTGATTTAGTAACAAAAAGATATTTTGGGCTTTGGGTTTAGGGTGTAAGCTCAGTTATAAATAGAGGGAGTAACCCCTATTTTTGTAAGCAAGTCAAGCAAGTCATTCACAGTATTTTGCAGTTGCAAAGTGAATAAGAAAGTTTTCACAGTTTGTGAGCAGAGAGAAACTCTGCAGAAATTATTTGTCTTGTCTTCTTTTCTTTGTTTGTCTCATAATTAAATTGTCATTGTGGTAGAAATTCATCATAGACTTTGGTGGATTTCCAACATCTGGTATCAGAGCTTTGTTTCGATTCAAGGGAAGTGTCAATCAAGAACGATTGAAGAATTCACGATGACAAGTTATGGGAATGCAAATTATCCAGCAACCCTACCAATTCTGAAAGTTGACAACTATGAGAATTGGTGCAAACAGATGAAAGTCTTATTCAGGTGTCAAGGTCTTTGGGACCTTGTAAAAGATGGAGTCGAAGCGCTTGGAGAAAACGCTTCAGAAGAAGAAAAGAAGAAATACATAGAATCTGAGAAGCTGAGTTATAAAGAATTATTTATAATTCATCAATGTGTCAGCCCAGAAAATTTCAAAAAGGTTAGTGATTCAGAATCTACAAAAGAAGCTTGGGAAATCCTTGAGAATTCTTTTGGAGGCGCTGAGAAAGTGAAAGAAGTGAGGTTACAAACTCACAAAAGGACCTATGAACTACTTCAGATGGAAGACAGTGAAAGCATATCTGATTTCTTCACTAGAGTTACAAAACTAGTAAATCAAATCAAGATATGTGGAGAAGCATTAACAACAAGAGCTGTTGTGTCGAAGATCTTGAGATCTTTAGCTCCTAAGTTCGACCATATAGTGGTGGCGATAGAAGAGGGGAAAGACTTGTCGAAATTGACATAGGAAGAGCTTCAAGGGACGCTTGAATCTCATGAACAAAGAATGAACGAAAGAGCTACAGGAAAATTGAAGAGTGATGTGGCCTTGCAGGCACATTCAGCAAAAGAGACCAAAGGCAAAGGAAAGTGTTTCGACAGAGGTAGAGGTGGCTACAACAAATCGAATGGTAGAGGAAACCAGATTGAAGGAAACGTGTCGAATCAAAGAAGACCATACCAAGGCAACCAAAGAGGTGGTGTTGCAAATAGAGGAAGAGGTGGTGGTCAAAAACCTGATAAGAGTCACATTCAATGTTACAATTGTCAGAAGTATGGTCACTATTCTAGTGATTGTCCAGAAAAACGAAAGAATCAAGAAAGTGATGCAAAGCTTGCAAAACATGAAGAAGAAGAAGAAGAAGAGATGATGTTGATGGTCACAACAAGAGATGAAGATAGATTCAAGGACCAATGGTACTTGGATTCAGGATGTTCATCACATATGTCTGGAAGGAAAGACTGGTTTGTCAATATAAAACCCTCAATGAAAAATATGGTAAAATTTGCAAATGATAATATCCTAGCAACTGAAGGTATTTGTGATGTTATGATCATGAGAAAAGATGGCAAAAGGTAAGTAATCTCCAATGTGTTGTACATACCAGGCATGAAGAGCAATTTGCTCAGTATAGGACAGTTGGTCGAAAAGAATTATAAAGTGTCAATCGAAGATAAAATGATGACAGTCGTTGATGCAAATGGGAGATTAATCTTGAAGGCCCCTATGTCTCGGAATCGAACCTTCAAGATTGAACTAAATGTGATGGAACACAAGTGCCTTTCGACTGCAGCTAGCAGAGATGAATGGATATGGCATTATAGACTAGGTCATCTCAACTTCAGAGACATTAGAGATTTGAAGATAAGGAATATGGTTTCAGGATTGCCAGAAATTGACATTCCAAACGAGATATGTGAGGAATGTGTGCAGGCGAAGCAACACAAGAATAGCTTCAGCAAGGATGCAGGAAGCAGATCGAAAGCTATTCTTGAAGTCATGTACTCTGATGTATATGGACCAATCCATGTGGATTCGATGGGAGGTAACAAATACTTTGTTACATTCATAGATGATTTCAGTCGAAAGCTATGGACTTACCTAATCAAGAAGAAAAGTGAAGTGATCGAAGTATTTACCAAGTTTAAGTCTATGGTCGAAAGACAAAGTGGTCAAAAGCTCAAAGTTTTGAGAACTGATGGTGGTGGAAAATATGTGTCGAAAGACTTCGACAGATTATGTGAAAAGGAAGGGATTGTGCATGAGGTGGTTCCACCCTATACTCCACAGCAAAATGGAATTGCAGAAAGGAAAAATCGAACCATCATGAATATGGTGAGAAGTATGTTGAAAGGCAAGAATTTACCTAAAGAGTTTTGGGGTGAAGCTGTTTCGACTGCAACATACATTTTGAACAGATGTCCTACAAAGAAGCTAGAAGGAATTACTCCAGAAGAATGTTGGTCTGGTGTGAAGCCTAGCTTGAGTCATCTGAAGGTATTTGGATCTATTGCACATAGACATGTGCCAGATCAGTTGAGAAGAAAACTTGATGATAAGTCAAGTCAAATGATTCTAGTTGGATATCATTCGACAGGAGGCTACAAGTTGTTCGATCCAGTGAAAAAGCATATTGTGATTAGCAGGGACGTGATCATAGATGATTTTAAAGAATGGGATTGGAATGAAAATATCAAGAAAGATTTAGTGGGAATCCTTCTTGAAGAGCCAGAAACTCAAGTCGAAAGAGAAGTTTGACAAGAGGAACCAGCAGATATACCAAGTACAAGCAAGCCTCAAAGAACAAGACACATGCCTGCAAGATTGCAAGATTGTGTGATTACATTAGATGATGTGATAGATGATGAAGGTGAGCTGGTACATTATGCTTTCTATGCAGATGTAGAACCCGTTAATGTAGTTGAAGCATTGAAGGATTCGAAGTGGGTGAAAGCAATAAACGAAGAAGTGAAGTCTATCGAAGACAACAACACTTGGTCACTTATCAAATTGCCTCAAGGCAAGAAGACAATTAATGTCAAGTGGGTATACAAAGTGAAAACAAATTCGAAAGGTGAAGTAACTCGACACAAAGCAAGAATTGTGGCGAAAGGATTTCTACATAAAGAAGGAATAGACTTCGATGAAGTTTTTGCACTTGTTGCTAGGATCGAAACAATCAGGTTAGTTGTTGGTCTAGCAGAAATAAACAGTTGGCACATATGTCAGATGGACGTGAAGTGTGCATTCCTAAATGGACCCTTAGATGAAGAAGTCTATGTTAAACAACCATTTGGGTTTGTGAAACATGACAAAGAAAGAAAGGTGTACAAGCTACATAAAGCCCTGTATGGATTGAAACAAGCTCCAAGGGCTTGGAATAAGAAAATTGATAGTTTTCTAAGGGAGAAGGAATTTGTGAAGTGCACAACTGAACATGGAGTATATGTAAGAAGAAGCAAGAGTAAATTGCTTATACTATGTGTGATCGGTGGATCTGGAACTGACTGTTTAAAGCTGGTTCGTGAAATGTCGCGGAAGCAAGAGTCGCCACCGTCTTTTATTTTCTCCAAATGGAAAGGACAAAAGCACAGAAAATTCCTTTAAAGAGATTGCTCTCGGTTCGGGAGGTAGATTATAGAAAGGGAAGGTGTTAGAACCCTTTCTATCCATGGTTATCCATGGGCTCTTAGATACTTGCTCATTTGTGTTTTCAAAATGGTTTGTTTGCTTTTCAATGTGGGTTTTTAAAAATTTTCTTTGAAAATTTCAGTTCGACTCTTGTATCGGTCCTCAAGAGTGTTTGAAAAGTTGTTTTGAAAGCTTTTTGAAAAGTGTCGGTGTGAAAAGAAGTTTTTGATTTGTTTTGAATTATAGCAAGTATCTACGAGTCATCTACCTACCCTAAGGAATTAGTCTGTGTAAATGTCCTTGAGGTAGTGCCATCCCACCATTGAGAGGTAGGTAGCACCACCGTTGGAGGTGTTCGGGTCAATTCGAGGGTTCGGGACATGGTGATCACCGGAGCAATAGGAAGACACCTTAGAAGCTACCCTCATGCCAGGTTCCCGGATCATGAGGACTTACTAAGACATCCTCTACTCGACGATCACCTTTCGAGGCAAGGCAACAGTGAGGCGTACCCTAGGGGTGGTGTGTGAACTGTGTGTCATTTTCATTTATTTTGTCTTGTCATGTCATAGGTGATCTACGCGTTTGTTTTTATTTTTGTCATTCATTCTTGCATGCATTTATTTAACAGTTAAACAGTACGGGAAAGATAAAGTTCCTAAACTATTACAAAGACGCGGGTCCACATCGCCAAATTTAATCCAGGACCCGATTTGACAGAAAATAAATAAAGTGCGAGAAATAAAATGTCCGAGTTTACAAGGCTTTGGGAGAATTACATTAATATTTACAAGAAATAAAATAAAATGCGCGAATATGAATTAAAATTGGAAACGAGGGCGTTGGACCCTTTTTAATGAAATTAAACTAAATTATCAAATTAATTAAATTAAAATGAAAAAAAGAACTTATTTTTGAGATTTTTGGTATTTATGAATTTTTATGTGAATTAAATTATATTAACTAATTAACCCTAATTCTAGTTGTTTTTTAATTTATTAAGAAAACATGTTAAAATTAAACCTAAGATTAATCTAATTATTTACATGGTAATTTAATTACAAAAATAATATTTAATAATTAATTATTGTGAAAGAAGAGAA